AATTCATAAGAACTAAGTCAAAATACATAAGAAATAAGTCAAAACACATAAGAAATAAGTCAAAACACATAAGGAATAAGTCAATATCTCTCAAGGGCGTCCGTAATTAACAGATGAAAATTTAGTTATCACATCAGTTTTGTACTTTTAACTACAAAACTACATTTAATCGTTATCAATAGCTTACCTACACTTAGTTAGAAGTAACAAAAAACAATCTCAAAACAAATAAGTCAAAACAAAGAAGTTATAACAAATAAGTCATAACAAGTAAGTCAATGTCCCTCCAGGGCTTCCGTAGAAAAGCACCCTGATTTGTATTGTGATCGTTGGTGTTTGTCTTGTGATGTTCCCATTTGTGAAAATTGTTCTGAACACAAAGAATGTTCGTCATCAGATATCGTAAGGGTTTACAAAACGAAATGGAGAAAACTTTATAACAGAAGATACAGGCAAACGACCCGAACTCTTCTACAGAATAGTAGATTAATCTTGTCAGCTATAATATCTTATAATAATATTTTACCTAGCGAATTTGCCAAGTCTCGGTGGACCAGAAAGTCAAATGTTAAAAGCTTAAAGAATCTTTTACAATGTTTGATAAAAAGAGGGACTGAAAGCAAAAAACAGCAAATATTAAAGGAAATTAATGAATATGTGAAAAGACAATTGCTAGCAAAGCACAGGAAGATATATAAATATATTTCTTTTCTAGAGAAAACTGTAAACAATCATGAAAAACTGATTGACAAACCTATTCAATACCTCTTGAAACTTAACAAAAAGGGTGCTGATATAGCATTTAATATGGTTGATCCCACAAAGCAGTCTTCTTTTTCTGTGGAAGAATATTTTATATCAAACTATTTAGAAATCAGCATTTCAAAAAGAAGTATAAAAGAAAGGCTTATCCCAATCAAAAAAGTACAGTAGTTAACGACAGTTAAAGGTTTTTTATTCATTACAGCAATTTTTACCACGTCAAAATGATTATATTTTATTCTTACTTCTTAAACATGATTTTTGATACCATATGTAAAAAATGTTAATTTAGTATCGACTTTATATTTGAAGCTTACAAATCGCTAGCCAAGGGTTTTTGATACGCTACTCTTCTCATGAACCCTTGGTATATGGTAAAGTCAAAAGACGGGATTGTTTTCGTCACGTAATATCGAATCTGTCAGGTATGCACAGACTGCGTCATCGACAGAAATAAAGACGCGTGTTAAAAAAAATAAATCAAAGTTTTTTTTTCAAGAATAATTAAGAAGCAATAATTGAGTTATGTTTATTTATTATTTATATTACAAATTTGAGGCTTCAATATACATTTAGAAGATAATGGATGACACCATAGCTATTCATAGAATTGCATGTTATCTTACGGATCATTGTTTACTTGCGTTTTTCATTCCCGAGATTAAAGAGTCAAGAAGTATCACGAACGCAAATAACGTCATTTATAAAGAAAACAATTGCTGATTGGTCGACCTGATGTACTGAATCCCAATCAGAACACGAGAAAAAAAAACAAGTTTTATCAACACCGTATGCCAAGGGATTATGAGGACAGTAGCGTATCAAAAACCATGTCATGATCGGGAAATAACGTAAAAATCCGTCGTCAATTCCGTGGATATATATAATTGACTAACAATTAGTATTAAAAAACGTCAGTCAGCATTTGACTCAATGATAAATTTTATTTTCTGATTCATTTTATCCCAGGTTTTATACACCACTTTCAAAGTTAACACTGTTTTTATATAGAACTATACTTTATTTTTGCTTCATCATTCTGACACAAAACTTATTGTGACGTCATATCTTGGGATATCAAAAAAATATCCAATAAGTCATATCCACGGGATAAAGGGGTAAACATGGGATAAATAATTCTATCACATACGTATACATGTAATACGATTAAACATGTTATTTACTGAAAATGTACAAGAGTATTTAATATTCTTCAAGATGTTTGTTCAAGAAAAAATCGAAACATTCATTGTCCATTAATTGAAAATAAAATTTTAATTGTAGAATTTGAGTTATTTTACAAAAATCCAGTCTCCACAGCTACTTTTAAATTGAGGACTCCCCAGCCAAAACAAATTAATAACAATTCTTAATTTGAACCTTTTAGATTTTTTTCTTCTCGTTTTGCTCCATTTTACAGAGAATACGACTACATACTTTATTTAGTTGATTGTATGTAAATTACTAAATTTTGATCTCCACCGCGTTGGGATTTTTGCATTTTTTAATCTGGATACTAAATTTAATGAATGAATTGAATGGTAAATAAATCGTTATATTTAATTTTTGTTTTAAAACAGATCATTTGAATTCATTCTTAAAATATTTCTACATAATTTAAAGCCGCTTCATCCGAAACAGGCACATATTATCTTAAACAATAAAAGTATGTCATTACATAGATAATATATAAAAATTAATTATAAGATTGATTTAATAGTTTATTACAACAATCCTTACATGGAAAACATAGACCAAAAACCTTGTTGACAAACAGCAGTTCCTGACGGGAAGTTAAGATCTGTTTTGAAGTCACCTTTGAAAAAAATACTTTTATCGGTTATATCTAGTTATGAAGAGAATTCAAACCCGAGTATTTTTTTTCCATTAGTAGAATCCTAAGTCATGATATATCTTTTAAAAATTAAGAAATTAATTGAATATAATCCATAGTAATTTTTATATTAATATGCATATTTTCAGAATAAAGGAAAATCAGATATTTTTAAAGATTTTTTAAAAAGGGAGTTTAGTAACGAGGGCTAGAATATTGCCCATGTACACTTTGTTGTGGAAAAAATGCTCGGGTTTGTTCTTCATGAGTTATACATGTAAGCGATAAATTTAATGTTTCGAAGGTGATTTCAGGCAATGTCAACAAAGGATTATTTTTTGTGTGACCTGACAAAAAATATTTTTTTAACTTTTGAATTTTGATTTCTTTAAAAAGAAAAAGACTTTGGGGATATAATTTGACAAAAGTTGAAATAGTTTATGGACAATTATTTTTCAAAAAGAAAAACGTATATATATTTTTAGCGATTAGAATCGGACCAAGCGGCTTTAAATAACATATGACGTCAAATTCAAAAGATACAACAGAAGTCTATGGACTTTTCGAACAACCCTCGTATATTCATTGAAGGAATTTTTCAAGTTCTGTGTGAGTTACTGGTGTGTAAACCACACAGACTTGACACGTAGGGATTTTGTACCTACGTGCAAGTCTGTGTGATTTACACACCAATAATTCACTCCAAACTTATAATTATTCCTTATATTTCCATTCTACATGTTTAAAAACACCTAAAATATACTCAATATTTGAATGTCTCGCTCACCTATTTCGTTACATTATTTACATCCCTGCAGCCTCTGTGAGGTAACTTTAGCGCGAGTTTCTCCTTGCATATTTCTTCTCGTGAGTATACACGAGAATCAAATCATTTTCACAGTTAGCTTAGTAGAAAAATGGTATTCAAATATTTCCGTTTCTAATTTTCTTCTCTATGATAACTCTTTGAAAGATAGCGGTGTTGATTTCTTGTAAATTCTACCGGAATGTAAATTGGGCAGGTCAATAGGTCAGGAGCTAAGGAGGCCTAATATGCTTGCAAATCTTGTGCGCATCTGTCTCTGTGTCTGAGGCTAAGGAGGCCAAATATGCATGTAAATCTCGTGCGCTGCCTTTGCGTGTGACGTCAGTGGCCGAGGACTATTGAAATTCACATGGGAGTCCTCGTGTAATTTAAATCTATGTCTACATTTTAAAAGTCTAAATCTACAATTCTATTTCACAATGAAATGGAAATATAAGGAATCACTGTCTAGTTAGTGTAGTATGCCAAGGACATCAACGATAGTGAGAAACATTGGATAATTTGCATAACGGGCTTCGCCCATTAAATTATCCCATGTTTCCCACTATTGTAGATGCCCTGGCATACTTTACTAACTAGACAGTGATTTCTTAAATCATTTTCAAAGTAAGCTTAGTAGAATTAGTAGAAAAACACAGCAAATGTAAATATTCTCAATAACACAGGAAGTGGAAAAGTGAAACAAACGCAAATGTACATTCAGTGAAATAAAATGTAAACCAAAAGGACAATGTAAGACATACATGTACAAGTTGCAGCAGCGATAATGTAAAAGCAATCAGGTGTAAAGAATGTTAGGGGTATATTCATAATTGATAGGGAATTGAAAGCTGAACACGATTCGTAAAAGGAATGTGTCCGCCATTTTTGTTCAGAGAATCGCTATACCTGCAGACCCCTATATGAAGGACAGGACTTTGTCACTGTTCAGTGTAATCAGTCGACACCGGTGTAGACGGACGTATGCTATACAACACTCGGTATCGACAATAATAACGTAATACTACGTCTGATGCAGGAAAGTAAGATACCAAAGTAACTTACAATTATAGCTGAACAGATCAGTGCAGTAGAAAAAACAAACACAAATACACGTAACTGCAAATAAAATGTAAACAAAGGTAATGCAAGATAATTAGCACGGACACGGGTCGTCATTCCACGTCGATACCCGTGACAAGAAAACAGACAGGTGTTACGAATCTGATGAGTATACCCTGGTGTTGATGTATCGTAGATAATGATATCGAAAATTGGGTATGCCTATTTACGAGTCGTGTTAAGCTTTAATATGATGTATGCCTATTTACGGCCCGTAAATAGGCATACATCATATTAAAGCTTAACACGATCTGAAGTTGAAATGATTGGCTCAACTCTTATCTTCATATAAAGTTAAAGAAATATTGATTTGTCAATGACTTGGCATAGGTAATTATCAAGGTTTATCAATATACGAAATTATCATATGTACCTGTAATAAGTAAGATAAGAAGAATCGATAATTGCTTTGGTTATCTAGTGCTTTAAATGGTAAACACGTGATTCACGTACGGTATCTATGTACATATTCTTCAAAACACTTACGTATTTTGTGCATTCGATTGAGACATGAACATGTTTGAGTGACTGTTTTTGAAGTATTCAACTTAAGGTAACATTTACCTATTCATAATTTAGTAATTCCTCATTTAATTTTTAACTTATACATCAATCTTGATTGACTAAATTATAACTTTTTCTTTTGAAAAAGTTACGATCAATTTATTTAGTTGGACTGATAAATGTGGATTTTTTTTTGTATTTTGATTTGCATAAACAAATTGAATGTATTGTAAACCAACTTTTATTCGCAAGGACGTTATTTCGCGAATTACCGAAGGAAAGTTGTTCGCGACGAATAATTTTCGCGATCAAGCCTTTTTGGATATGTTATTAATAGACACATATACCGGTTTGCGGCGAGAAATATTCGCGATGACGAACCTCACACGCGAATAAAAGTTGATTTACAGTATTCCGATGGTATGAAAGTTTCTTTATTTCACCAAATAAGGATTACATGTCTCATAAAAAAACATAAACCAAATTGACAACATATTCTTGTCATGTTTACAGACACAATTTCATAGAAAATTATCAATTTTCTTTCATTTTGTAGTTTCATTTACCTGGATACCTAAAATTTTCTTCATGTTTCATTATTCAGATTCTTGCTTCACACAATGACTAGAGTGACAGGAGGAAAGAATAAAATTCCGTACGAGATGGACTTTAATTTAAAGGTGCCACTATGTTCTCAATGTCCTTGTACTGTACAGGGTGCAAGTGGAATCTATGTCGTCTCTGTAAAGAGGATCATTTCAGCATAAAACACACAAAAAGATACGCTGTTGTACTACACCTTTTTAGATTTGGAAACTTTATAATACTGGAAAAATGTAAAAAGCATCCTGAAATGTATTGTGATCGATGGTGTTTGTCGTGCCAAAGTCCTACTTGTGCTGAATGTTCTGAACACAAAACAAGTTCATCATCAGACATCAAAGAGTTTTATACAAAGCACATAACGGGATATAACAAAAAATATAAACGGCAATCTAGAAGATTTGTACAAAAAAGAAAACTAATCTTGACAGATATAACATCTTATAAAAATACTTTAACAATCGACTTTGCCATGTTTCAGTCAAGCAAAACGTCAAAAGCTCAAAACTTGAAAGAAATCTTTCAGTGTTTGATAGATGAGAGGTCAAGAGATGAAATCCATGTAATTTCTAGAAAAGCAAATGAGTATGTGAAGAGACAATTCGAAAAACAGCGCAGGAAGATGTATAGATATGTTGCTTTTCTTGAGAAAACTGTTGACAGTTATGAGCAAGTGGCGGCTAATAAACCTATTCAATACCTTCTAAAACTTAAGAAAGAGAATGATGGTGCAATGCAAAACATCTCTGAAACATCAAAACAGCCTTCTTTTCTTTCTCCCAATGAAGATTTTTTATCAATATTTTTGGATACGTGTATCAACATATCAACAAAAAACCTCCGAGAATGTTTCTTTAAAAAATTAAAACATCAAAACTGAATTTAGAATTTATTCTTATCAATAACAAAATTCCCATCCTTCTTGTATCATTTTTTGAATTGATTGGTTGCCATATTTTTAGAATATGAATCATAAATAAACAGAAGTGTATATCAACAAAAACATGTACGAGATGGGCGTTTATTTAAAGGTACCATGATGTTCTCGATGTCCTTGTGACGCGGAATACTACTGTACAGCGTGCAAGTGGAAACTTTATAATACCGAAAGCATGTTAAAAGCATCCTGATTTGTATTGTGATCGGTGGTGTTTCTCTTGTTGTATTCCTGTTTATCCTAAATGTTCTGAACAAGAGGGATGTTCATCAACAGGCATTATAGAAGGATTCAAAAGGCGCATGAAAACAAGTTATAACCAAATATATATAGAGGCAAAATTAAAATTTGTGAACAAAATAGTCGTATGTTTTAGCCATTACATCTTATCCAAAGAGTTGTCCAAACAAAATGTCAACAGCTGGAACATTGAAGAAAATCATATAGTTTTTATACAGTAGGGATGAAGAGAAGAAAGTCAAGAGCAAGTAATTTTTTACAAAAAACGAATGAGATTGAGAGACAACAACTACAAGAACAGTGCAGGATGATTTATAGATGCATCGCTTTTCTACAATTTTTTTTTATAAAAGTCATGAAAAAGCGGCTAAAAACCCTGTTTAGTACCTCGTAATACTTTTAAAAAGAAAGTATTCTGGTGAGATAGTTATAAATTTATTTTGTAATAGCCAGCACGAGTATTTGCAACTAAGATGGATCTAAAGAAAGTGGTCACAATACCATTGCGAAATCGCAAAAATGATAATTCTATGAACAATCCATACGGTAAGAGAAAACAAGCATATTTTATCAGAGATTGGTTAACTGATTCAAACTATGGCTTCCCATAAGAATAATCGGTTCCGTTTTTCAATAAACCTACATACATACATATATAGAAAAAGTTGTACTTTACCCCTGTAAAGTAGAATACTAATAAAGGACAACAATTTAAAGAATTTTTTCACAAACACACATCAAGTTTTTTGGGAGGGAGGGTGTGTTTTTCTCTTTTTTGCCCGAGGTCATTTTAAATACCGGGAAGATACTCATGCAATCCGTTATTCTAGTAACTTGTTGGTCTCAGTGTTTGGTTTTCGTTTAGAATATTTAATAACAAAAGTTTCATCTAAATGATTTTTAGAGTTCGAGAAAAACCAGTCATATCATAATCAATGTGTTTTTATGGATTTGTAAACATGCATTTCATTGTAGTAAGCTCGAAGTATTTTACTTGTATCATAGAACTAACAATGTTTTACGGTTTTCAGAAGTTTCAGAACTAAACAGCTATTCACTTTATCAATATCCTGTCAGCCAGAATTATTATATAGTCACCCATTTATCCCTCGACTTCTTATTATTCACATTGATAAAAATTGCATCTGTGTAATTTGTATTTCTAAGAATTAAACTTTAAAACAAGATTTTACTGGTTTTCTTCTCAAATATTTCAATTTTTAAGTCAACGGGAAAGACCTTTAAAGATTTTTTTTAATTAACGTAATATGTTGTAGAGCGATTGTTATCAGACAAACTTAACACAAACATCCCTCACAAAAATACTAAAGTTAACTATAGTGATAACTTTGACACTGTGGAAACTTTGATTTACTATAGTGATGACAATGACACGTTCATTCACTATGAGGATAACTTTGACACTTTGATTTACTAAACTGATATCTATGAAAACTACAATTTACTCACAGTTGCCTGAGGACAGGACCCCCACCCCCCACATGGACCTTTTCGACTTTTTTCACATAAATTATACATGGATGACACATTTGTGATATAATCTTTTCTATCAATTCAGAAAATCTGCTAAAACAAACATTTTATAAAAATTTCTTTCCCACTCTACCGGTATGTGTATCAATTAACCTTGTTGATTTTTATGAAAAGAATGTACGGTAGATTTTTATAAAACATTTGTTTTAGGATAATTTTTGAATTGTTGGTATAGATTTTATCATAAATATGTCATTAAAAGATAATTTATGATAAAAAAAATCGAAAAGGTCCAGGGGTCTACATGTATATCGAAAGGGGGGGGGGGGGTCCTGTCCTCAAGCATCAGTGGATTTACTATGATGAAAAGTTTGATTTACTATAGTGATAACTTTGACAATAAAGTGAACACTTTGAAAACTCTGATTAATGACTATAATAGCAACAACAAAAAATAAATGCAATATATTAGAATTAAGAAATCACAGGTTGAAAAGTTTAATTACGATGTTATATAAATGAAACATATGGAGATAACGAACAGTATTCAAGATAAAAAGTCCATAAAACAAGACAAAGTAGTAGCAGAGCAAACACGGACCTCCAAAACATCAGAGGTGGGATCATGTGCCATGGAGGAGTGAGTATTCCCTGCCAACCGGTCACAACCGCCGTGTGCTCCTTGTCATGATCGCTAAATAACGGGAAAATCTGTCGTCAATTTAGTGTAATGGACTAACAATTGGTATGAAAAACCTCAGTCAGCATATGACTCTGTGATGAATTGTATTTATTGACAAAGTGACTGTATCGACTATAGAACTTACGAAATGATGACTTTAAACGAGACTGCTGATATTCTTGTTTCATAAACTTGCATGTTTGTCGATAATTTACGTCGTTTTAGAAATTGTTCATACGCAGAGCGTTCTCTTGCGTATCGAATCAACTGAGATACATAAACTCCATATGCAGGTGATGAAGGTATATTGCTGCATAAGGAAGGGAAGTTGACTAAAGAAAAGTTAGAGTCATCACGTTTATCATAGAGCTTGGTCGTTAGATTACCAATGATGTCTTTTTCAAGTAAAATATCCAAATATGAAACAGATGTGTCAGGCTCTGTGGTATCTTTTATCTCAAGCTCACCAGGATATATCGTATCGACAAAAGAATGGAAATTACCATTGTTAACTGAAAATAGGTTGTCGATATATCTAAATGTCGATTTGAATGCCACATTAAGTGTTTTCTTTCTTTGAAAAGTCGTTGAAAATCGTTTTTTAATTGTTATGTTTTTTTAATTGTGATTTATTAATTTTGTATAACTTGATACGTTGCTTTATAGTTGTAAATAATATAAACTTGTGAAAATCCCAGTCGGTCCCCTTAAAACTACCTGTATGAATGGTATTCACAAAGAATTTTTGAGTTCCTGCAGAAATTCTAATAAGCTTTTGTTTACGTAATCAAAATACATAATGGAATTAATTTTTAAAAATGGAGTACATGAAGTTTAACATCACTATAAATGAATAACATACATCGATTTATTTTTTTCAAAATCAACATCTGAAAAAGTATAGGTAAAAGTTCTTAGGAAATATCGGTAAATGATTTTGAATTAAATAATACAAAAAAAACATACCACTCTGTAGGAACAAATAGGGATTTTTACAAAGAGAATATATAAACATTTGTATATCTTTTTCCAAAGGAATATGTTTTATCATGTATTTTGGGGCATAATGAACAAAGTTTAAAATAGATAACTAAAGAACATTGCAGATATCGATTTTAGTTTTTTTTAAAAAAGAACTTCAAGTTTATTATCAATGGACAAGTGATAGCTTTTTTTCACTGAGGGGATAACTATACTTTGTGGTAAGTCGTATTTAGATGTTCTGTTAGAGGACCAGCATCTGTCTCCATGTTGAAAATCTGGTGTAATGTGTCTCCTTCTCGTTTGAAACTTCTCTTTACCTGAAAAAAAAACACATTGAAATTCACTTTTTAAAATATTTTTCAATTTAATTTTTAAACCAATCTGATATGTTAAAAACATCTGTACTGAAAAATCAATACAAATCTGATTTTCTTTCATGAACAACTACTTATATGTCATTAGTCTTTAGGACAATGCATAAAATCATAAACAAGAAAATATTTAATATCTGTGTGTTTGTTATTCGTCAGCTCAGACTACTTAACATTTCAACAAATTGACTTTTAAGATAACATCTTTCCAATGAGAATAAGGAAATTCTTTTTTAATTTTTTTTTCAATTTCTGCAGCTACCTTTATCATTTTGCAGCCATCGAAAAATATCTTCCTTCGAATATCGTTTGATTCCAATTCAATGCTTTGTCCCTCAACCGTTCCCTCTTGGATTTCACTGATAGCTATATTTAGATGGAATGGAGAAAATCTTTTATGAAATATTACGATCAATGCATGGAAGCATAATTTAAACCAGCACTTACTAGTATTTGTTTCTTCTAAAGTATTTATGTAATCTTAGAATTAAATTTAAACTAAATAAGCATTTTAAATAAAGCCATAACCTTCTTTCTTGGAATACAAGTACTCACCATTGTTATGGGCGGCTATCCAAGCTATTTCGTTTGTGCCGGGTTTAATTTTAAGAAATCCTAATTCTCTGTGATGTGGCCTGCTTGTTTTCTTATTGATAGAATAAAGGCTACAAGAACACAGACAATGCATTTATTTGATAGGTTAACAAAGTTGTAAAAGCCAATAACCGGAAACTAAAACATTCAATTAATATGACAAATAAATATTTTAGTTGTCATTGTATACTGTATTATAAGCTAAATGCTGCTGTAGTCCTTGAGTATTTGGTACAGTAGTATCTTTATGGCAATACTGAAAAATCACGTACATGTATTTTCTTTGGTTAAAGGGGATTTTATTCCGTGGTTGAAGCAGGAAATTCTTAGATTTACTATAAGTTTCAATTTTTTCAGTTTCATGGGGCACATGAATTTGGAGATCTCTTCTAACAACAAAAATTACAACAAATAATATAAACAAAAATGATATTTTACTGTAAATGTAGATTATACATCAATGATAAAGATACTGCCACCACTACTGTCAGACAAAGGAAAACAATCAGACAAACAAACAAACCTAAATTGAAGCATTGGCTGACCAACGTGAAAGAACTCTATTTCATCAGTATATTCAAAAGGTCCACTGATTGGGCAGGTGCCCTTTCCTTCGCCTTTCCATTTTCCTATCAACCACTCTAAAGGTTTCAATGCATCGTGCATCGGAGAATCTGTAAAATTTAATGCATTAAAACACATAATTTGGTATATAATGTACGTTTACCAAAGTGGCATGCATTCATATACGATAAAGCTATTGTCAGTGAGCCATTTATAGCC